AATTAGTGCGTGTAACACTACCGAAATATGTCATGCACAAGTTAATTAAAGTGATGTCTCACATTTATCCGAGGTTCATCTACATTGTGAAACTAATTAAATGATTAGTCATTAAGTTTTTAAATGAGTAATATCATACAAACAAGAGTAAATTGGTCATAAACCAAATCTAAGAAGATTGTAAGGCATTAGGTCTAGTAGATGTTTTTATTAGTGATGAGTCCACCCTTTTGTCAAATAATTTGGTGAGAAGTCTTTTTGTTTGTTTTGAAAGATATTTTATTTTCTATTTTATCCCTTAATTTATCTATTGACTTTTGTTGACTATCTGTTCAAATTTTTTCCTATATGTTCAAAGTTTTTTTTCTATTTGTTCAAGATTTTGCTTATATGTTCAATTTTTTTTTTTACATATATGTTCAAATTTATATCTATCTATTCAATTTCTTTCCTTATCTGTTCAATTTTTGTGTGACATCTTGTTTCAGGTGACTGCTCAAGCGAAGAAAGTGTCGCTCGAACGGAGAATTACTGGTCTTAGTATCCCGCAAGCTTACAGACCGCTCGAGCGAAGGAATCTTCACTCGAGAGCAGAATGTAAGCTTCCAATAGTTTCATTGTAGCTCTGCAAAACTTCTATGACTTTTCATTTTTAGCTCGAGCGGTGGAATGATTGCTCAAGTGATCCTTTCATAATTATGTTGTTCACTCAAGCGGTCTACGCGATTTTCAGCACTTTAAAAAGTATATTTCTAGATCATTCTTTTCACTTTTCTTTTCTCATTCCTCTCTCTCACCCTATGTTGGAAAACCCTAGGTTTCTCACTCTAAAATACCTCTAATTCCTCTAAGATCTAGCCTAAATCATTCGCAAGGGGTGAAGTACATGTGAAGAACATTTTTCCTACCGATTGGATTTTGTTTGGTAAAGATCTCATCTAGAAGCTTGGTTCTTGTGTTCACAACTTGAGGTAAGGTTACTTTTAACCTAGTATTTCTTTGTTTTGAAGAAGTTTATATGGTATTGTTGTGATTTTAAGGCTTGATTAAATGATTAAGTTGGATTAAACTTTGCACGTAACAAAATGGGACATTTACTCAATTCTCATTAAAATTTCATCTAATTTTGCATAAAAGAGGAACATTGATGTTGAGGATCTATATATATATATAGATCGGGAGAAAGCCCTAAATTTGACCAACACCCTAATTTCAAATTCAGTAGAAAATAGTATTTAGATTAGAATTTCCTTAAATTCTAGGAATATTCTCAACAATAAAAAGGTAAAAGATGTGGATCTTGTTATGATAATGAAATTGTGGCTTGGGAATTGATTCTTCTTGAATGTTGTGTTTGGACTTCATCTCATAAAATGTTGAATACTTGTTGATTGAATGAAAGTTTGGTAACTCGAGCATGAGTCTGGGTTAAGAGTCGGTTTTGGATGTTGTTGAATTGTGTTGGTACTCGTGCTGGAAGTCAAGGTGCTCGATTTCCCTATCTGAGCATATTGTCGAACGAATATCGAAAAATGTTTTTGGGTGTCCACTGGTCCTGCCATATTGTAGTCGGTAAAAGTGGGAAAATAGATGATTTTGGGTGCTCACATCCTGCCGTATGATAGTTGGTAAATGTGGGGATGGTTTTAAATGAAAATGATTTGTATCTGTGATTTTGGACTCTTATTAAAGGGCTCATGGTGTAATTTACTTTCCATTGTTGATAATGGTTTGGTATGAGAAGGCAATGTGATTTATTTTCCTTATTTATTTATTTAACTGATTATCTTTTTATTAAATTACGTTGTTTAGTTACAAGGGTGTCATGGACTTATTCAAATGATTCGATACTAGTTTAAATGTATTTCTACTGGGCATATAGCTCACCTGTATTTACTTTACAAGAAATGGTGACGCACTGCTACAGAAATGACTTAGATTTAGCGGTGGTTTGGTTTGGATGTGATAGCTCAAGAACATATTGGTTGCTAAGACTTAGAGTTTTGTATTAAGACTTTAAAAACTTACTTTGTTGTATCAGGCAAGTGCCTTATAATGTTATATGCCCTTAGGGCTTTTCTTTTGTAAAGTTATCTAATTTGTTGAATTGGGAGTCATGTATGCGGTGTCATGGTTATGTAGACTTGGAAATTGTAATCTTTGAATCTTAGTTCAATGAGAAAGATGACTTTTTGGTGTACTGTTATGCATGTTGGGGGTGCATTCTTGCATCATTTAGCAGAGCGTTACAAATTGGTATCAGAGCACTAGGTTTAAGTACCTTGGGCTCGTAGGAAGTGACAACTGTCACAGTAGGTTCCTAGGCTAGGATGGGACGCTTGGGTGCCTTGTGTGTTTTGTGTGTTTATGTGGTTATATGAGTACGAGGTTAAACTTCTATGATATGGCTTATATTCATTGCATTCATCGAGATCCTTTTGGAAAGGCACCTGATCAATGCTCTTTCCATTTGGAGGTCCTTGATTGCCATGGAGGTAACTAGTATCCTTGGAGGGTGACTTATATATGCTTCATGTGATTGCTTGACTATGTGGATTGTTCTACAAGAAAGTAGGTACTTTTGTAAGCACTTGTTTAGACTGTGAGTAAAGTATGAAAATTTTGAGTGGGGCACTTAGGTGCGGAAAGTTGGTCTTGAACTTAATATCATCTTTCTTTCTTATAGGATGTCTGAGCGTTTTAGAGGTTGCGACAGACCTCGTCGAGGAGGCCAGAATGTTCCAGCCCAACCCGAGATCCCTCTACAAAAAAAGAGTGGGTCAAAATAATATACCTGCCCCACCGGTCCAAGATGCAATGGGGGTCCTGTCCAGAGAGATGGCAGGGCGTCTTCGAGAGTCCATGGAGATACTTAGAGCCAAGCAAGCAGCTAGGATAGTTGAAGGGGAAACTAGAGCTTTCGTTTTGAAAAAAGAGTTCTTCCGTTCAAACCCCACCGAGTTTAGTGGTGGGCTCGACCCGATAAAGGCAGACGAATGGTTGGAACAAATTGTCAACTCTTTTGTGATTTTGGACATCCGAGAAAATAAATTACGAGTAGCATTAACGGCTTACCAGTTGAAGGGAGAGGCTGGGCAATGGTGGAAGTACGTTAAGAATAGAGTTGAGCACACATGGGAGGCATTTACATACGCCTTCCAAGAGAAGTTCCTTTCTCCCACAGCTAGGGAGTGGTTAAGGAAACAGTTTGAAGAGCTATTATAACTCGATACACCTGTGGCTGAGTTTGAAGCCACATTCACTAGTTTATCTCGTTTTGCACCGGAGCTAGTAGCAACCGAAGAACGCCAATGTTTAGAATTTGAAAAGAGGTTAAGGCCAAAAATTTTAATAAAGGTGATAGGAAATATGATTTGTGATTACGATCACCTAGTGGAGGTTGCAGCCCATGTAGAGATCATGGTGAAGGCAGATGAGGCAAGGCAAAACTTGAAGAGGATGGGACATTCTGACTCTAAGGGCGACACGGGCTCTTAAAAAAGGTCTAGGGGTTCATCATCATCATCACTTCAATCACCCCCACAATAGGCTAAATCTTTTGATTCTGTGACAGGTGGAAGTTCAGGGAGTATGGGTCGAATCCGTGGTGCTTGCTATAGATGTGGCCAAGTGGGTCACAAAGCTTCAGAGTATGGATAGAAGGGCTGAGCACAATCCCAACCTGCGTGTCCACAGGGCCAATCTTAGAGTAGGGATCAGTCACCTTCTTGTTATTAGTGTCGTCAATCAGGGCATTTGAAGAAGTTTTGTCCACAGAGAGCAGGGACTACTAGTGTGGCAAGATTTCGACAGTCTAGAGGTTTTCAGATGGGCCAGGGACTGAGATAGTCTTGCCAGCCAGCTCAGTCAGGCCAAACATCTAGAAAAATCTCAGGGAACCACATCTGCACAAACTGCACAACAGACTTATGCTCACAGAAGTGATGTGGGAGAGCAGAGATCATATGAAAGGGTATATGTCGTCACTGCTTTAGAGCAGACTTCAGGATCGTCAGTTGTGAGAGGTACATTTCTCATTTTCAATATCTAGGCTAGTGTGTAGATTGACACTAGGGCATCTCATTCCTTTATAGCAACTTCATTTGCATTGTTATTGGGCTTAGAAAGTAAACATTAAAATCTTCACTCATTGTAGAGTCACCGTCAGGTGTAAAGTCACTCTAACCTAGGGATGTCAGGGATGTGTAATTGAGGTAGCGGGTCGACAGCTTCAGTTTAATTTTGTGTTGTTGGAAATGTCAGGTTTTGATGCTATTCTCAGCATGGACTGGTAGTCTACTTACCGGGCTATTATAGATTGTTATTGTGGAAGAGTTACAGTATGTACGTCAGGCGGTGATTGTTTCGCATTTCTGGGAGATAAGAACGATAAATCCTTACTCCTATCATACTATCCATGCGGCCAAGGTGAATTTGTTTCTCTTTTTGCAGCTATTATAGATAACGGAGGTGGTATAGTCTAGGATGGGTTTCCAAGGGTATTATGTGAGTATCTTGATGTCTTTCCCGAAGATCTCATTGAATTAACTCCATACTGGGAAGTTGAGTTTTCTATAGACTTAATACCTGGTACAACACCTATCTCCTTGTCCCTGTATAGGTTCACTCCGGCTGAATTGGTTGTCCTAAAAGAACAATTGCAGAAGTTGCTAAGTAAGGGCTTCATACACCCTAGCACCTCACCTTAGGGAGCTTCAGCCTTGTTTGCAAAAAAGAAAGATGGGTCATTAAAATTGTGTATAGATTACCGTAAATTGAATCAAGTTACGGTTAAGAACAAATATGCTTTGCCCAGAATAAATGACCTTTTCAATCAACTCAAAGGTTCACGTTGTTTTTCGAAGATAGATTTAAGGTCGGGTTATTATCAAATTCGAGTTAGGGAAGAGGATATTCCCAAGACTACTTTTCGTTCCTGATATGGTCACTATGAGTTTCTGGTCATGCCCTTTGGTTTAACTAACGCACTTGCTACATTCATGGATCTAATGAACCGAATTTTCCAGGAGTTTCTTGACAAATTTGTAGTCGTCTTTGTAGACGACATCCTCATCTATTCGTCTTCTGAAGGGGAGTATGAAGGGCATCTTCGTACCATCTTACAACTTCTTAGAGAACATTTTCTGTATGTGAAATACGAAAAATGTGAGTTTTGGCTTTCAAAAGTGAAGTTTTTGGGTCACATAGTCTCGGAAGAGGGGGTTATGGTGAATTCTTCAAAGATAGAACCCGTGCAGAATTGGGAGCAGCCTAAAAATGCATCTAAAATTCATAGTTTCTTGGGTTTAGCCAGTTACTACCACCGGTTTGTAAAGAACTTCTCTTCCATAGCATCATCATTGACTAGATTAACCCGCAAGGGAGTGAAATTTGTTTGGAATGAAGCTTGTGAGAATTCTTTTCGAGAACTAAAGCTTAGATTGACTACCACTCATATTCTTATCATTCCAAAAAGCGACCTGGGATATACCGTGTACTGTGATGCCTTTAGAGAGGGGTTAGGGTGTGTTTTGATGTAAAAGGACAATATGGTAGCGTATGGATCGCGCCAATTGAAGACTCATGAGAGATACCACCCAACGCATGATTTAGAACTTGTCATTATCTTTGCCTTGAAACTTTGGAGATATTATTTCTATGGTGAGAAATTTGAAATCTTCTCCAACCACAAAAGCCTTAAATACCTATTCTCCCAGAAAGATTTCAATCGACGCCAACAGAGGTGCATGAAGTTTTTGGAAGATTATGACTTTGAAATACATTACCACTCTGGTAAAGCCAATGTTATAGTGGATGCTTTAAGTAGAAAGTCTGTAAGTACTATAGCCAGTCTAGCAATGAGGGAATGGAAAATGATGAGGGATGTCAGTGAATTTGATTTGCAACTCCAAGAGTCTTTTGAACAAGCCATCATATTCACCACTATTGCACAACCCACCCTTGTTATGCGAGTAGCAGAAGCACAATTGGGTGATCCGGAGGTGGATGCAATTCGAGAGAGAATCTCCTAAGGGAAAGAAGAGAGGGGCCTGACCATTTATACCGATTCTAGTATTCGTTACCTTGGCCGGTTGCTTGTGCCTAAATCAATGAGAGATGAAGTTTTACGGGAATTTCATCATTTACGTTTTGCAGTGCATCCGAGAAGCACCAAAATGTATCATGATCTAAGCTGACAATTTTGGTGGAGGAGTATGAAAAAGGATGTAGCTTCATTTGTGTCCAAATGTTTAACCTGTCAACAAGTTAAGGTTGAACACCAATGACTGACAGGATTGCTATAACCTCTTCCAGTTGCTGAATGGAAATAGGAGCATGTTAACATGACTTTGTCATGGGCCTTTATAGAACGCAAAGAAGTAATGAAGCAATATGGGTGATTGTCGACAGGCTCACTAAATTAGCTCACTTTCTCGCCATGAGCATGGGGGATTCTATAGAATTCCTAACTGAACTTTACATCCGTGAGATTGTTCGCCTCCATGGGGTTCCAGTGAGTATAGTGTCCCATAGAGACCCTTACTTTACAGCAAGACTATGGTAGAGTCTCCAAAGTGCTTTGGCTACCCAATTGAATTTTAGTACTGCTTATCACCCACAGACCGACAGACAATCTGAATGTACCATTCAAATTTTAGAAGATATGTTGAGGGCATGTGTGCTAGATTTTAAAGAGTCTTGAGAGAAACACCTACCCTTAGTTGAGTTTTCTTATAACAATAGCTACCATAATGGCACGTTTTGAAGCTCTTTATGGATGTCCCTGTAGATCACCGGTGTGTTGGATAGAAGTTGGAGACTTGCCTATGCTTGGGCTCGAGTTAGTTCATGTGACAACTGAAAATGTAGCCCTTATTCGACGAAGATTAGTCACGGCTCAAAGCCGACAAAAAAGCTATGCGATTGTCGTCGAAGGCCTTTGTCTTTCCAAGTTGGACATCATTGTTCTTGAAGATCTTTCCGAAGAAGGGATAATGAGATTTGGCAAGAGTGAAAAATTATCTCCTCGATTTATTAGCCCCTTTGACATTATTGAGCGAATTGGAGAAGTTGCATATCGTCTTGCCTTACCGCCACAACTCTCTAGAGTCTATAATGTGTTTCATGTGTCTATGCTTTGCAAGTATGAACCAGATCCCTCTCACGTGTTAGATTGGATGGAGATTAAAGTGGATGAAGATGTGTCTTATGAAGAAAGACCAATCCAAATTTTAGATACACGGGAGCAAGTGTTAAGGGGTAAGATAATTCCGTTAGTTAAAGTATTGTGCCTCCATCACGGTGTTGAAAAAGCAACATAGGAACGTGAAGCTGAGGTCCGCGAGAAGTACCCGGACTTATTTTCAAATTTATGATGTAATTGTCTCCTTGCTCTTTCCTTGTATATGATAAATTGGAAATGAACCATAATGTTCTAATTCTCCATTGTCTTTGGTTTTGGTTTTAAATTGATATATTGTTTATTTAGGTGTTGTTAAGGATTAAAAAGTATATTGTTGTTGCCATACTTTATTGTCGGATTGGGAGTGAATGTTATTTTGGGGGCGAAATTTCCTAAGGGGAAGAGATTGTGACATCTTGTTCTAGGTGACTGCTCGAGTGAAGAAAGTGTCGCTTGAGCAGAGAATTGCTGCTCCCAGTATCTCGCAAGTTTACAAGAGAGACTGCTCGAGCGAAGGAATCGTCGCTCGAGCATAGAATGTGAGCTCCCAGTAGTTTCACTATAGCTCTATAAAACTTCTGGGACTTCTCATTTTTAGCTCAAGTGGTGGAATGATCGCTCAAGCGATCCTTTCGTAATTGTGTTGTTCGCTTGAGCGAAGGAAGTTGTGTTCAAGTGGTTTACGCGATTTCAACACTTTAAAAAGTAAATTTCTAGATCATTCTTTTCACTTTTCTTTTCTATATTCCTCCCTCTCACCCTAAGTTCGAAAACCCTAGGTTTCTCACTCTAAAATACCTCTCATTCCTCTAAGATCTAGCCTAAATCATTCACAAGGGGTGAAGTACATGTGAAGAACATCTTTCCTACCGATTAGATTTTTGTTTGGTGAAGAGCTCATCTAGAAGCTTGGTTCTTGTGTTCATAACTTGAGGTTAGGTTACTTTTAACCTAGTATTTCTTTGTTTTGAAGAAGTTTATATAGTATTGTTGTGATTTTAAGGCTTGATTAAATGATTGAGTTGGATTAAACTTTGCATGTAACAAAATGGGACATTTTACTCAATTCTCATTAAAATTTCATCTAATTTTACATAAAAGAGGAACATTGATGTTGAGGTATAGATCGAGAGAAAGCCCTAAATTTGACCAACACCCTAATTTCGAATTCAGTAGAAAATAGTATTTAGATTGGAATTTCCTTAAATTCTAGGAATATTCTGAACAATGAAAAGGTAAAAGATGTGGATCATGTTATGATAATGAAATTGTGGCTTGTGAATTGATTCTTATTGAATGTTGTGTTTGGACTTTATCTCAAAAATGTTGAATACTTGTTGATTGAATGAAAGTTTAGTATTTTGAGCATGAGTCTAGGTTAAGAGTCAGTTTTGGATGTTGTTGAATTGTGTTGGTACCTACGCGGGGAGTCAAGGTATCCAATTTCCCTGTCCGAGCTTATCGCTGAACGAATGTGGGAAAATATTTTTGGGGGTCCATTGGTCCTGCCGTATTATAGTTGGTAAAAGTGGAAAAATAGATGATTTTTGGTGCCTACATCCTATCGTATGACAGTCAGTAAATGTGGGAATGGTTTTAAATGAAAATGATTTGTATTTGTGATTTGGGACTCTTATTAAAAGGCTCATGGTGTAATTTACTTTCCACTGTTGATAATGGTTTGGTATGAGAAGGCAATGTGATTTATTTTCCTTATTTATTTATTTAATTGATTATCTTTTATTAAATTACGTGTTTAGTTACAAGGGTGTCGTGGACTTATTCAAATGATTAGATACTTGTTTAAATGTATTCCTACTGGGCATATAGCTCACCCGTATTTACTTTATAGAAAATGATGATGCACTACTACAGAAATGACTTGGATTTAGCGGTGGTTCAGCTTGGATGTGATAGCTCAAGAACATTTTGGTTGTTAAGACTTTAGAAACATACTTTGTTGTATCAGGCAAGTGCCTTATAATGTTGTATGCCCTTGGGGCTTTTCTTTTGTAAAGTCATCTAATTCGTTGAATTGGGAGTCGTGTATGCGGTGTCATGGTTATGTAGACTTGGAAATTATAATCTTTGAATCTTAGTTCAATGAGAAAGGTGACTTTTTGGTATACTGTTATGCTTGTTGGGGGTGCATTCTTATATCATTTAGCAGGGCATTACATTTTGTGGGTTTCTCTCTCTATCTGTTCAAATTCTGTGGGTTTCTCTATGTAATTTTTCCTATCTGCTGAAATCTATTTGTATCTATTCAATTTTTTCAATGAACAAATCGTTGGCATAACCTAACCCTAGTTAATTTTTTATCTATCGAAAATCTAGCATATGATCAATGAAGCAACACACTACACAACAAAATTACAATTAATTCCCTATCCGTGTTAAATAATTGTCTATGTGAAATTCTTATAAGAGAGAAAGAGAAAGATTCAACAGATCGAACACAAACAAAACACAAATATTATTACAGAGACTAAAAACAAACACATACATACAAATTTATACAAATCTATTCAGTAAAACATTATAAACTATTCTAATTTCACAAACACAAACATATTTTCCATATCTATTTAGAAGAAAAAATAAAGTGTTTCACTAAACACATAGAGAGATCAACCGTAGGCCATTATCACTCTCAAAACATAAACAAAACACAAATTGAACACATCTACAAACCAGATCTAACATATATGAGCTCAAATGTATACATATATATATAAATCTTTCAACAGATCATCATCTTCTTCATCTTCATCAACAATAAATCTAAGATCTAAGTTTAAATCTTAAAAAATATATATATATTTAAAAATAGAGAGGAATAGAGAGAGTGAGATATAGAGAATAGAGAGAGAGATTGGGAGATAGAGAAAAGAAAGAGAGAGGGAAGAGACAACGATGGTGACACGACAGTGGGCGAAGTTCGATAGAGGTTACAGATGCGGCAAATAGATCGAATGGATTCCTTTTTCTTTGTATACTTCGGTGATCAAAATCCTAGAAAACCAAGCAGTTCATCTCGTTGAAACGGTGACTGAGATCGGTCTAGGAGCCTCCGTATCGGCCAAGCATACCCTTAGTATAGCAATCCCGGTTTTTCCCCTTGGTTGTTTAACTGTAATCCGGACTCGGTTCTGTGGTTGTGTTGTCGTCTTATTCTTGTTTCTATCCTTTACTCTTAGTGTTTGAGTTTTAGGATGTGTTGGGCATGTTTCAAACAGGTGGATTGAGTTTTGGTCTCTAGTGTTGTTGCCCTGAATTTTGGTGTTACGCTCGAGCGGATCATTATGCACTCGAGCGGAGTTTGGTTTTTGGTTGTCCGCTCGAGCAGGTCTTATTAAGCTCGAGCGGGGTTTACACACTTCCAGTATTTCGTGGCCCTGCAGAACTTCTGCAAGTGTGTTTTCTACGCTCGAGCGGGTTTCTTGCGCTCGAGCGAGTCGCGCTCGAGCGGGATTGTTGGCGCTCGAGTGGGTGGTTCTTTTTCTGAAAAGTTCTGGGTGATAAAAATCTGCGCTTGAGCGGACTGGTTCTTCACGCTCGAGTGGATGTGTTTTGCTGTTGTTTCTTAGCGCTCGAGCGGTCATCCTTACGCTCGAGCGGTACCAAATATTTTTGCTTGACGCTCGAGCGTTCTATTCTCCGCTCGAGCGGGTCGTGCGTATATGAGTTATCCGCTGGGTGATTTTAAATCACTTTTCACTTTTCTTTCTTTCTCTTACTTTTCCAAAAAAAAGCCATTTTGAGAGTTCCTCTCACTAAAACCCTAATTTCTCTCTTAGGATTGATCTAGTAGGAGTTGTTTTCTCACCTTGGGCCTTTACAAAAGTCGTGTTGATCGTCGAGGGCTATCTTTTAATCTGAAAATTTCAGGATTTGGAGCATTTCCGTTTCTTCATCTCCTTCGTTGGGACCCGTCATTCGAGGTAGGGATATCCTACTCCTCCTCATGGATTTTGTCTTTAAATTTTAGCATTTTGATATGTTGGGTGTTGTTGGGTAGATTTGAGAAAGTTTGGGCCTTTTGTGTAATTTTTACAAAAATTGGGATTTTGTTTGGAATAAACCTATATGCAAGTTTGGTAAAAAGGGGAAATGAGTTGGATGATGGATTGTGGATGAAAGTGGAACCTTAGAGTTGTTTTGTTAATTAAGGTAATTTGCCCTAATTGTTTTAATTAATTAATGTATATAATTGATTAAAGGAAATGAGGAATTGAATTGGAAATGATGAAATTGGGAATGTATGGAACTAACGGGTGTAGTTAAATCACTTATTGCTAACCTAATTGAAATGTTGATATACTATCCATTTGTGCATTTATTTCCTGTTTAGAAATAATTACTCTGGGCTACCGGTGGAGGGTAGTATTGATTGTTGTAGACAATGCATGATGATTAGGCAAACTAAAACTAATCAATCGGATGTGTCATAGAGTATGGCGGTTGGTAGAATACATTAACTTTATGTATTGATTGAGTGTATATATATGACCAATGTGTTTATATGCATTATGTGTAGACGGTTGATAGAATACATTAACTTTATGTATTGATTGATTATGTATATGATTCTGTGTTTATATGCATTACTTGTGTATGGGAGGAGATGGGGGATGTACTCCACGGTTTTGAATCTGATCTCACAAGTGCAATGTTAAATAGATAAACACCAAAGAGTCCAAATCTGACAAATCTTTTGGAAAATCAATTTTGAATCAAAATGCCAAAATGGACTGCTCTGCCAAATATAGAGTCGCCACTTAAATATTTTTGAAAAATCTAGGAAACCCATGACTCATGACAAAGGCCACGTGTCTGTCATCAGCATGATTGTTTCGGCTCGGGAACTTAGGTACGAGAGGGAAAGGTCATAAATTGAGCACTCCCGCTCGCCCGATCAAAGATCGGCCTCTACTAATCATGATGTGATTCTTATTTACATTATATACTCTTGTTCCGATTTATTAGGCTAACTTACTATGTGATGCGCACACAAGGTATAGACTAATTTGCAAGAATTGAAACATTTGATTTCATGTTTGTTTTTTTTAAAAAGAGTTTGTAAATGCACCACTTGAAAAAGTGGGCTTAAATGTACATTAATCAAAATATCCCAAT